GAGGAGGAGGAGGAGGAGGAGGAGGAGGAGGAGAGGAGATTGGATTTATACCCCGCCCTTCACTACCAGAAGGAGTCTCAGAGCGACTTACGATCCCTTCCCCTTCCCCCAACCAACACCCTGTGAGGTAGGTGGGGCTGACCCTAAATGACCCTAAAACCATTGAGTTTTGCCCAAAAACCAGAGCGTCACCCCCCACACACATCACCAATGCGCCTACGTCACTTCCGGGGGATGTCAGCACATCATGCACCATGTCACTGTTGGGGGGGGGGATTTCCTCCTGCAGGCCAGTTGACCGGCGGCGGTCAGAAGCCTGCAAAAGCAGGGGCTCCCCCACCCCCACCTGGGGAATGGTAGCCCTATTCCCAACCCAGAGCTGGTAACCCTAGATACGAGTCCCTGTGTAAGGGCCTGGACGAGTCCCAGTCGTTATATGTAATGAATGACAAACGAGATCAGAGGTTCCTGCCTCCCTTGGGGTGTAACTACAGAAAGGGCTAAACAAATCTAAACCCATTCACAGGGCCCTCTTTCCTGAGTGCAGAAGACGGTCAAACATACAGTCTAATCGAGGAAGGTGCAGTGTGAACCATACAAAAACTAGCTAACATCCAGAACGGATAACAGTCTTGACTCAACACAGGATTACTACATGATAAGAAGTGTCAGTAAGCGTCTCTAAACGATGGGCACTGCTGAGCTCTTAACAGCTGCAGTGAGTGAGGAAATCTAAATCGCTCTTTAAGTCAGGGGTCATTTCCTGCAGGAGTGCACAGGAGCGGAGCTCCGGCAGTAAAGAGCCCAGGGGGTGGGCACATGCAACAAGCCCCACCCCCTGCTCCCAGCAGCCCTCAGTCAGAGCAAGAAGCAGCCAGGTAAGTTGCAGAGCCCCCCCCCGGCCCGAAACAGTCCAGTGGCACCTTTAAGACCAAGTTTTATTCAGGTACAAGCTCTCCCTCCTTTGTGACGACAGATCTGTACGCCCCCCCCCCAATAGCTAGCAATCCAAAACAGTCCAGTGGAGCCTGAGCAGTGAGTGGGTGGGTGTTGCCTTCTGACACACTTCCGGTGATGTCAGGGGGTGTGGCATATGCAAATAAGTTATGCTAATGAGTTATGCTAATGAGCTCCTGCACCTCTTTTTCTATGAAATGACCCCTGGTTTAAGCCAAGGGGGACAGGTAATCTCGCAATGCATTCTACTTCAGCATTTTCATATTGGATTCCCTCTTTGGGGTTTTGTTGTCGGTGTTTGTAGAAGAACAGTGACTTTAACATCTGCAACAGTATGTCCTGGGAGAATAAAATGCTCCTCGGCGCTTCCTGAATGGCAATTTTTAAAAAAAAATTATACAGGGGGGCCCAAAGACTTGCAGGAGGCATCTCCCTTCCCCTCTCCTCCACTATTTCTTCTTTCCCTTCCCTGAAAAAAGAAGAAAGAAGAGAGAAGGAGAAGAGGAGGAGGAAGAGATTGGATTTATACCCCACCCTCCACTACCCGAAGGAATCTCAGAGTGGCTTACAATCTCCTTTCCCGTCCCCTCCCCACAACAGACACCCTGTGAGGTAGGTGGGGCTGAGAGAGTTCTGAGAGAACTGCCCTTGACAGAACAGCTCTGAGAGAACTTGTGACTGACCCAAGGTCACACCAGCAGCTGCATGTGGAGGGGTGAGAAATCAAACCCGGTTCTCCCAGATTAGAGTATTCTCAGTTTATAGCCTCTACCCTTTTTCTGCTTCCTTCTCTCCTTCCCAGCCACCAACGGATCTACCTTTTATCTTTGGCTATATTTATTACTTACATACTTGACATCCGCCTTTTCCCACAATGGGACCCCCAAGTAGCTTACATCGTTCTCTTCCGTTTAATCTCCACAACAGCCCTGTGAGACACGTTAGGCTGAGATAACGTGACTGGCCCAAGATCACCCAGCAAGATTCCATGGCCGAGTGAGTCTCTGAACCTCGGTCTCCCAAATCCTAATCTGAAATCTCTAACCACTACACCACATAGACCTTGTTCGTAGGGTGGAACGTGCTCGGTATCAAGTTGCCTGGTGGTTGCTCTCGGGTCTGGCATTGATTCTTCCTCGAAGGCCAAAACAGCCAAAAAGGCCCTGCTCCCCTCCTTTTACTAACAGAAACTAAGACTTCAAAGGGCAATACTGCTGTGGTTACCTAGCAACAGTCACTGAGAGGCATTTGTTTCTTAAAGCCACAGGCACTGCTTTTATTATTGGAGGGTGGTTAGCTCCCCCTTTTTTCTCAAGATTTCAGATTTTTCTGCAAACCTGGAGCTTTTCTCAAGTTTGCAGAAACCTCTGTCTTGTCTGTTCACTACTCCAGTTTCCAGATTTAAGTATCCGCAGATTTGGCCGCAATGAGAATCAGACATCTTGAATGATGATCACACTTGTGTCCATTTATACTACTGCATGGGGGACTGACCTGTTTATCCAATTTATGTTGCAGAAGATGGGCAGATCAAAGAATAGATTCCAGGATGGAAGGCCTAATTAAAACCAAATATAACAAGCAGGCCTTTTTTGCTTTTGTCTGAGACAACCATTCTATCCTTGCTGTCTTTCAAGTCTGAATCAGTGACAGGAATTTTAAAAGGAAATTCTTTTCGGTCTTAGTATTCCTATAAATGCTTCTTTATGACGGGTTGCTCAATTTCCGATTAGAGGAAGCATTTCAGGAGGAGGAGGAGGAGGCAACTTCAGAGCTGGATGTTCGAGGACAGGGGTGTCGAACTCATTTGTTATGAGGGCCGGATGTGACATAAATGAGACCTTGTTGGGGGGGGCCACGTGGGTCATAAAACGTAATGCCAGGTAGCAGAGATATAAACTTTATAAAGGACACAAACGCAAAGAATTTCTTTACTTAAAATAAAAACATGCTTAAAACATTAGCTCTGTAAGCTGCAAACCTACTTTTGATTTACTGACATTCACCACAGAAATCTCATGCTCAGAGTTCGGAGTCTAGGACCCAGGTGAAAACATGAAATGGCTGAGTGATTAAGAGAGGCTGGAGAAGCAAGCTATGATGCAGTAGCAGAACTGGAAGCAGGAGATGGCCAGTTCCACTGCGGGCCAGATGGAAGCCCTCCGGGAGCTTCATCCGGCCCCCAGGCTGCATGTTTGACACCCCTGCTCTAGGACCTAGAAAATCAGATTCCCTTCCGTTCTAAACAATATTTGCCTTTCACTAAGCTAACCCCTGTTTCCTTCAAGGAACTTCATCCAGTGTTTACTTACAAGTAAGGATGCTTAAGGTCAGGCTGAGTAGGAAATACAGAAATGTGTCCTTTTATCATTATCAGATCTTAAATGAAGTTAAGAGAACTATGTCTGCGTAGAAATCAACATAATAATTTCTCTGCAAATCCTCAGCATCGTGACCGCCGCCGCCCACTCGGTGGTGTCAACAAATCAAGAGCTAGTCCTTCTGTAAATATTTCCCCCCCAAAAGTTAGATTTTTAAATTACCCTAAGAAAAATATAAGTAAGGGGGAAACAAAAAAACCCTTTGTGCATTAGGACAACAGACGTAGTTTGTATAAAGTAACGGGATTTTGCAACCCTGTATTTATCCTGCAAATGAAAGGTTGGAGATGATTTATTTATAGGTTAATCAGCAATTTTTTTAGGGTGGAATCAGTTTTTTGGTCGACAGAGTTTGCTTTTATTGGTGGGTTTATTTATTTTTTTAAAATGCATAATGTAATGGTCTACCTCTTCCACTCCGGCCCACGAATCGCAGGTCGTTAAACCGCGCCACTTGGTTCTTCATAACAGCAGAGGCGTTCCTCAGCTCCGCAGAATAATTTTCGTCATTCCCAGCCATGACCGTGACCACTGTCCCGTCGGGGACTTCTCCCAACGCCACCACCTGTGACAGCGGAAACACAACAACAGCCTCTTTTGAATTGCGTGGCTCTCCGTCGCAAAAGCGAGGAAACCCCCCCCCCAAAAAAGGCATGACAACATGGCGACGCTGGGATTCATGACCCGGATTCAGACAAGAAGAAACCAAAGACAAGCCACACCCAGAACAGCTTCTCATTTCCACACAGGTCTTTTGCCCTGGTTTCAACGCTCTTGGAAAATGGCAACGGGGGGAGGGGGTCCCTGCTTCCACACCGCATTCGAAGAAGAAGAGAAGAGTATGGATTTATACCCCGCCCTTCACTACCCAAAGGTGTCTCAGAGCGGCTTACAAACTCCTTTCCCTTCCCCTCCCCACAACAGACACCCTGTGAGGTAGGTGGGGCTGAGAGAGCTCTTGACAGAAACTGCGCTTTTTTCAGACAACTCTTATCAGAGCTACGGCTTGCCCAAGGTCATCCAGCAGCTGCGAGTGGAGGAGTGGGGAATCAAACCCGGTTCTCCCAGATTAGAGTCCGTGCACTTAACCACTACACCAAACTGGATAGATTCAGGCATTTCCCAGGGGTTTCCCTGGCTCTTCACCCATCCTTCCCAAGCCTATTGGACGGCTGCCATGGGGGTGGGAAAGTTCAGACTGTCCTACGGTTGCCAGTTTCAGGTTGTAAAATCCCTGTACTTTTGAGGGTACACCCTGGAGGGCAGGTTTTGGGGAGGGGATGGACCTTAGTGGGATATAATGCCATGGAGTATACATTCCAGAACAGCCGTTTCCTCCAGGGGAACTAATCTCTGTGGCTGGAGATCACTTGTAATTCTGGGAGACCTCCAGGCACCACCTGGAGGTTGGCAACCCTGGACTGTCCTGGTCCTGCCCACACGGCAGCCATTTTCTTTGCCCTGGTTCCCACGGAAGCCATGTCCTACCCCCAGCCACCATCGCAGCTTTTGGGGGGGTTTGTTCTTTTTTAAATCAATAACTGAATATTGTTATAACAGAACAATCTGTACCATGTTCTCTCGATTCCCAGTGTTCATTTTTTTTAAAAAGAATATAAGTCTGTAGCCGCTTTTGGGGAAGGGCACATCTATGCAATGAAATGGGATTGAGACTTAAAATGAAAGTCGAGGATTCTGAGAGCCTGATAGACAGTTATCATGATATTCAGTTTGGTGTAGTGGTTAGGAGCGGTGGGCTGTAATCTGGAGACCTGGGTTTGATTCCCCACTCCTCCTCCACATGCAGCCAGCTGGGTGACCATGGGTCAGTCACGGTTCTCTCAGAGCTCTCTCAGCCCCGCCTACCGCACAGGGTGTCTGTTGTGGGGAAAGGAAGGGAAGGTGATTGTAGGCCGCTCTGTTCTCTCAGAGCTCTCTCAGCCTCACCAACCGCACAGGGTGTCTGTTGTGGGGAGAGGAAGGGGGGGCGATTGTAGACCGCTCTGAAACTCCTTTGGGTAGTGAAAAGCAGGGTATAAAAACCCAACTCTTCTACTTCTTCAATTGCCAGTTAAAAAAAACCAACAACCTGAAAAAGCCCTGGTGATGCAGGGAGTTTGTGGGCAGGGAAACTGTGGGGAAACCTGCCACGGGGAAGCCGTTGCACTGTTCTGTCAGCCGCAGCAGCTTCGGGGAAACCTCACAAGCCCTCCTTCGTGTGGAAAACACTTTGATATGAGTTATCCTGGTTCTTTGTATAACGGGTTAACAAGCCAGTGGTTCTGCTGGCATGAATCATACACACAAAAAACCCTCTTTTTTAACAGCAAGCTGGATGGCGTTCTCAGAAGCCAACTTATGCCGCAGTTCTGAGAAGACTGACCTCAGCTTTTAATACAGAAGCTTTCAGTAGATTCTGAGAAGTCACAAAGAAAGCCAACTGACAGACTACCATGGTGGGACAGGAGCCTGTTTTGTGTGGCTAGACCCTGGTCAAAATGTCAACCAGTGCAGAGTTACTCCAGTCGACGTCCGAGTAACTCTCCATAGGACAGCACTAAATAGCTGGACGCAGGATCCAGGTGAAAAAGAAGGGCAGCATGGCTCCTGCCCATGGTAGTAGATGGAGCACATTCGGGAAGGTGACACAGCAGCATTATCTCACATTGGTTCTCGGACTTAACGTATCGCTGCCTTCTTGAACTAGTGCCCTGAACTGTGAAGATCAGGCTGTAAGAGATTCACGCTTTATTGTTTTAGGGGGGAAAGGGTTTTATACCCGCTCTTCTCAACCTTAAGGAGTCCCAAAGCGACTTAAAATCTCCTTCCCTTCCTCTCCCCACAACAGGCACCTTGTGAGCCAGTTGGGGCTGAGAGAGTCCTGAGAGAAGTGACTGGGCCAAGGCCACACAG